CGTATAACAACATACAAAGTTTTTCAAAAGAAACATAACTCACAAGGAGACGAGGAGACAAATCGATTAGAATAGGATGCAGTAGAAGTGTGAGATGTTAATGCAATAAGTCAAAAGGCCAGAAAGAGTTTCTAGTGACGGCACTCCAAGAACCAAGTGGAAGCATCCCGCCAGCATTTGTGACAGATGTCCGGCGGTACTTTGAACGCGTAGCAGCCCTTTCGGTTTTTCGAATTTTTTTTACCAAAACAAATGCATTTTTTTTCGTTCTTATCGTGAACGATGGGTCCCAAGCCAGTGAATTATGGGTGAGATAGAATCACGATTTTTCCGAAAAGGATTCCTTTATGTAAGAACTGCGAACGCTTCGATACCCATGCCATTATCACATCTGGTTTACGTTCAGGTTCACCACTTGTTCTTGAGTCAACTTTTATCAGAATCGCCCTCCTTCTTCGTAGTAACCGACAAAATTAAAAGAGCTATTCAAAAGAACCTCCCGAACAGTTTCTTTTTTCATTTGAAATTGCATCCGGTTCTGAAAAATTAATCCACCTCTCATTCAAACTGACACTTGGGCAGGTACAGGAGGCGGGGCTCCTGAGACGAAATCAATTTAAATTCATTTTTGTAAGCACTACATGTTCTTTTTTCACAGTGGTACTTCTCTTTTCATGGAAAGGAATAAGCGCACCTAAATGTACGATCGGAATGTCTTGTAAGATATCACAAAAATGTCAGGATTCCAAATTGGGATTGAATGCATGGCGCATTCCTGATCAACATATGCACCTTGAGTTTTCGTGTTTATGATTAGTAATGAGCTGTATGAATATGTGATGCTTTCAGCGGGCGACTGGCTACAAGGACCCCATGTCTATGCTCTCTACCAGTCCTATGGCATGTCCAAGCATCAAATCGAGCTGTTGTTCATCGCCGGTTTTGGATCCAGCCTGCTGTTTGGAACAGTGATCGGATCGTTCGCCGATAAGTTGTAAGTGAGTACGCATTCATCGATCTCTTTCGGAACTCTACAGTATCTTGGCCGAGATTTCAGTGGTCGTCGGAATAATTGTGTGATCTACGGGATACTGTATGGATGCTCTTGCATCACGAAACATTTTGCCAGCATAGAAATATTGATGGTGGGCAGATTTCTTGGAGGAATTGCCACCAGCATCCTCTACTCGGCCTTTGAAAGCTGGCTCGTCTACGAGCACAACAAGGTAATGAAAAATCCGAAATAGGTTTATTTACTGTTCAGGAAGAGCTTTTGTGTGGAAGTGAAAATCCGTGTGCTAGGGATAGGTATGATTTTCGCCTGTTGGCCACATTGATTGCATCGATCGTGTTTAACAAAGAATTTTATCTGGTCTTGTTCTTGAATGACTGCTTCAGCGAGGCTTCTCCGAGAACCTCCTCGGCACGATTTTCTCCCATGCAGCTTTGGGGAATTCGTTGATCGCCATTCTGTCCGGGGTCGCCGCGCAGTTTGCGCTTAGCAATGCCTATGTGATTCGTGTGAGTTAGCTTGGAAATAAGCCATTCGATGTGAAACCCTGGTCTCCGACGAGTGATAATACTAAGTTGTTGATTTTCAGGCACCATTTGATTGTCTGTTGATGGTCTGCAGTGATGAGTGTTTATTATACTTGAAAACCTGGCGGCCGAAAATTACGGCGATGAAAAGGCTCCTAGCGAGCACATTCCTTCAAAGCATTCGGACAAGTGTAAGACAGGTGAGTCCTTGATGAGGTGAGGGAGTTGGGAATGGTTGGAGGTAGCTTTGAAATAAGGCCTTGTTAGAACTCAGAGGGTTCGATTTTGCCACCGGTCTGTCGTTCCTTATTTAGTGCGTCATGGAGGACAGATCAGCCTTGGTCGTACGGTCAGTCGGTCAGCGGTAGTGAGGTCTGGCTTGATACTTCGGAACGAGGAAGGGAAGGATTATTATCGATTTCGAGCTTTTCAGGGAATTGTAACTTGTCATTTTAGCAGGTTTAGCGATATTGTCATTTTTTTAGAGAACGCGTATGTTGGAAGTACACCCTTTTGGTACCGCTTATTTATTTATTTTTTTGAGAACAGGGGTCGGGGTTGTGGGTTTTATGATATTTGTATTTGGGAGATATAGTAGGAGAGGTACAGCTGGCGAGGAATTAGTTGCAATGTAGCTATTTGAAGGGGGCGGGATGTTCGAAGTGGTGCCACGGATACAGGTGTTCATTGAACAATGAATCCATCTAGCCTGTATGGTGAGGGTAAGGAAATGGACAATTTTGTTACACGAAAAGAGGAAGAGGGGTCGTGATATTCATTGGTGACGGTGGAGGATGTACGTATTGGGGTCGAAGGTTATTCTGTCTTGGCAACTATTGAGTTTTCAAGCATCTCTGGAAGGTTTGCGTAGCACATGCTGAATCATCTTGAGACGCTCAGCGATGAGATTTAGAATTATTTGGTCTTCGACTCATTAATTTGTTGTATGTGTACTGTGAAATTACCCTCGTTTCAGAACAAGAAAACGCATCCGAATTGCGGGCCACAGCACCAAATTTTAGAGTGGCTTAGAATGCGGGAATTTAGTGATGCAGAGCAGGGTGAAAATCGTGTCGAGTACGTGGTCGCAGAGGTACGACCCCCCCCCCCCGAAATCGAGATCCTGGCACGACCCCCTCTAACAGAGCAAATTAATTCAATTAAAATAAATCCTGCAACAAAAATCAAAAAAAATCAAAACAATCAAAAAAATTCTGCAAAATAATGCTAAGGACGCTTCATCTTGTCATCTATGCACGTCTCCCATCGCTGCATACTTTTGTGTACATACTGAAATATCGACTCGAGGAAAGAGGCATTAACTTTGTGTGACCTCAAGGCGAGGTTCGTTCAGAAACGCACAGAAATCCTGAAGACACGGGGTTGCGATTCAATCTTGATTCTTGCTTGAGTATATCAAAACAGCCGAGTGTATCAAAGGCCGATTCAACGGCAGCTGCGGCGCGATTGTCACTGGGTCAGATTTGCCGAAATTTCAAAAAAAACGTCCGAATCTACACCCTCGATGAAAAGGTTGCATTCCTCCATTTCACAACCTTTGAAGCAGCTTGAGGTAGAGTTAGATAGAGCTGGATTTCGCGTTTCCAACAAGCATCGAAATTGCTCTGGAAGCCTTCCTTGCAGAAAGATAGGGTCTGTCAAATTTCGTCGAGTAAATGTCGAGGAGGCCGAAATTTTCACGCGAGTTTTTGCCACTTCAAGAGCAATATATCTCTTATATTGTAAGATCCTGAAAAAGGGAAGATAGTTTTGGAAAGCGGAAGGTTTGCGCTTCCTGATGGTCTGTTTAGTTTTCTTCTACAGCTTTTTGGTTGAAGAGATAATTGCGTCGAGGATCTATCGAGGTCGGATCCGGCCACCTGGAAATCCGCTCCCTCATTCACCATTGCAAGTGTGACTCGTTGGCAACACTCGGAATGTGTCTAGAACAATATCTTTGAACGCAAACAATAAGAATAGGAGCAATCGTCATCATCCGATTTGGTATTGGTATAAGCCATGCATCCCTCCTCCACTCACAGTTGCAGAATCGATTGAAAGGTGTTATATGATGGGGACCTTCGAACGAAACTGTATTGTAGTAGACATAGTGTGTTGTGCTATTCCTGTAACCTAAAAAACAACTTCATTTGCCCAGCGCTTTTTCTTCACGGTTGTCGTTTTTCCGACAGGGTCCCTAACAACAGCGTCATTCTCAGCGAGGTATTAAGGGAGAAGGAGCGAGTGATAGGCGGAGGAGGTGCCTTTGCAGCGCGTGCGCACATGTGGCACTCTTCTTTGCGGGGATGCACTTTCATTCTTTGTACTGCCTTCAAATACGCCCTTCTCATGAAGGTGGAGGAATGGAGCGACTGAACCTGCAAAGAAAATTTAATATCATGTTTTTTTTCGGATGTTTTCATTTTCTGCTGCGCTATACCCTATTACCTATCTGCACCATGATACCACTTCTGTTACTGACCCCAAGAGTACGACCCCCCATGGACCAGCCCAACAGGTACGACCCCCCTGTCGAGGATTTCCTCGACCGATATTCACCCTGGTGAACTTAGTGATAGCTGAGGTTGGTAATGAAGTTTGCAGTTTAGTTACTGATCGAAGGACAGTTGCAACAGAGCTATCATTTCATTGGCAAAAACATTACATTTGGGAGAGCGGGGGCGGGGGAAGTCGGGGCAGGGGTGGCGACGTATGATGTGTGGATGTGATGTTGGTCGGCAATCAACTGCGTCTTCTAAACTAAGATACTTGAAAGTTTACGAGGTTACGCTTACTTTTCCCTATGCAGTGAAGTTTGAATTCTTTTTCCAGGTTGGAGTAAAATATTGTAGACATAATAACTTATGTTCATGACACAAGAGAATCGACTAGCTGAATGAATGATTGTGTATCTGTCTGAGAAGAGTTTTAAAGGCGCAACCTAGGATGAGTTGAAATGGATGAATTCTTTCGTGCTTGGGTAGGCTGGTCACTTAAGATTCGCTGCCTGCCCCGGCTCGGGAATGCGCAAGAGAGGCGAGTCTTGCAAGATCGTTTTATTCGCTTCAAGTCTCTTCTTTGTGCAGGGCTCTCCGTCAGTCGCGCTATTGGGATTGTGCCATGCACTTTCTTCATTCACAGTTATAGTGGACTTGGATTGCAGTGGTGGATGACATTGCTCTCTGGAAACCTTTCCCCTCCCTAAGGCCTAGTCCCGAGTTCTATAAGTGGCCCACTCAAACCAATATCTCCCTCTAAGGACATGAGCGCCAAAAAAATTATCCAGAATGGCTACTTTTCTGGTTTAGCCTCTGATTTCATTCCTTGTTGCAGATGTGAATGTGCTCTGTCTGGGACTGGTTCAGTCTCTCTTTGAAGGCTCCATGTACACATTTGTGTTGGAATGGACTCCAGCTCTATCTCAGGTATGACATAGCAACTTGAACATCTTGGTGTTCCTCACCTAGAGCTGGTACGGTTGTTTTCAGGCTACGTTTGCTCCCATACCACATGGTTATATATTCGCTAGTTTCATGGTAGCCACCATGATGGGATCGTCGATTTTCAAACTTCTCTCCAAGACTATTCGTCCGGAAAGTTTCATGCGGTTAGTCGGTCTTCAAAGGCTGTGATCACGATGGATGGTGGGCGGTGTGGTTTTGATGGCATCACTGAATGGCACTGGTGGAAGGCGTTGAGTGGCGGTTCCTTCACAGCCTCAGCACGCTGAGGGGATCAGTCCACCTATGGCCGATGTCAGACTTGCTCGATTCGCTAGCGTCCTCGGTCGCGTTCCGGTACCAGCTAATCGAGCGATTTGCAGGCCGCGACGCGACCGCGGACGCTAGCGAATCGAGCAAGTCTGACATCGGCCTATAATGGTAAATGACGTCATCAAAACTGCCCCGCCCTCCAGATATCGTGATCGCTA